TTTAATTTGTCGACTTATAATAATATTCTTTCTACCTATTTTTTTATAGAATTTAATTAAAATGTTTAAATTTTATATATTTGAGTATTAATTATAAATTTTAATTTAATTTTATGCTTTATACGTTATAGCAATATTCATTTTCGAGCATAGCGGCGAGCAAACGTATAATCTAAACAAAAATTTATCGGTTAATTAATTTTAACGAGCACTTAATGAGTCCACGGTCGAACTATGTGATTCTTTCGTGAGCATGTTACCCTTTGATTTGCGTGCATTGATTGCCGTGTATAATCCGTTGCATCGGCGCATACCGCCGCGTTTATTTGGTTTTCTCCCAAATCCGCTTAATTGATCAGCCTAATTATCAAAGTACAACACTGGTTATATCGGTAGTACGCTGCTTCTGCGCGTAAAGCTGTGCTTTAATCAGTATGCATTTAATCAGCTGCGCGCAATTTCAATGCATGACGTTTTATCGGTGCTGCACACTCTTTCGTTTATGCGTATTAAAATATCCATCTCTATTCCAAAATCGATAGTGGAGAGCGAATTTCGCAATATTTTATAACATATTCCATCCACGATAAATGGCAATCTTCACAATTGCGTAGTGATCTTATTAACATACATGTCAAGCTTCGTATTCATACCGCATATTTAGCGCTTAATACGACCACATCTAATTCTAATCCATAATTCATGCGAAAATCATGCGAGGTATTGCGCAAATAGGACGCGGTACGTTAAACGCTTAATATCCGGGATAGGTATTGTGCTGAAAATACGTTAGGAGCCGTTAGGGAACGAGTTAGAATTGATCAAATACAATGAGAATACATTGTGAATAAAAGGGCAAACGGATGATTCAATGATCTCAATTCGCCGATTTTAATAATCAACTGACAAGTGTCGCGGCGCAATTTGCGTACTGTACTCGTGTAAAAAATACGGTGTATTTGCAAATACGCTGTATTTGCAAATAAAAAATATGCAAAAGAAGCTTGAAATTAAATCAATAGGATCGCGATATTTGCAATCATGAAACTATTACTTTGCGAATACTAATAATATCTGCATATTGCAATGTCGGGAAATGATAATTTATCTAATTCACTCGACTTCTATATACAGCTCACCTTTCTCTCTCGTCTTTTCGCAACGCGAAGTTTCGGGAGAAGCAATAGAGCGAGAGCGGATGGCAGTGACTGATAGCCGCGTTGAAACTAATGGCGCATGCAGAATGCGGATTCAGCATGACGCGGTCGATATTAGATGCACGAGAGAGGGGGCGAGAGTCAGGGGGAGGAGGGTGATGTTTTGTTAATCACGGAGAGCTCGAAGGGTTACCTGCCTGTATAGGGCGTTGATTTTGACAAAGGGTTTAAATGCCTGCGAGATTACCCAGGCATGTCTAATTCCGCGCATCCCTGCAGCTCGGGGAGAGCCAACGATATCTATCAAACTAGGGATGCACCGGCGTCCCTTGTGACAAAGAGCGTTGGCGTAGGAGTTGTTTTTCACGACCGTAGTTCTTTTGAAGGGCCATCCGCTTTTGAAACCCTTCTTCCCTTTCCACGCGATCAAGCGAGATGCAAGGTCATGTAAACAACTTTCGTAGAAATTGGAAATCGTTTCGCTCGAAAAAATATGTGTCGGCTCATTCAATCCGTTAGTATATTTTTTTAACGTAAAATGATTATCGATATTGAAATGCGTGTATCGGTTATCCGAGATTGCGTAATGACGGATACAAATTACAGAACTATTTTTTTTTACGTTTTATGCTGTTTAAAAATTTTTTTAAATAATGTTACTATTACAAATTTTTTTTTTTAAATTTTCTATTAACACATGTGCGGGACTGGTGACAGCATGTCCCTTTTGTTTTTTCATACACTTGTTTGAAAAGACAGAGAAGTAATTTGTCATGCTCTTATGCACATAACGATAAGAATTTACATGCAAATAAACCGCACGTGTAGGTCTTACATAATGCGCTGCGAGAAAACAATCCAATGACTAACATTATGCTTCACATTTATCGGCTTCAGATTGTTTTTCCTGCTGGATATAAATATCTAATCTATCGAGAACGCACACAAACAACATCTTTATCTCGTAATGTAATATAGTCTCCTAAAGTTTTTATCAAGCAGTAATCGTCTTGATAACTCAATTATTACATGCGCTGAAAATGAAATAACCTGACTTGCGCTTTGATCTCTAGTGTTATGTATTCGAATATAAATTGCGTGGATATGAAATCGCGAAAAAGATAAAAGGATTTTCTCGGACGTTTGTCAGAAATAAAAGTATCGTAGAAATAAAAATTTATATTGCGCGCTGAATAATTCTTTAATATATTTTTTAAAAGTATTTTCCACTTATCCGGCGCAAATCCTGTGCCAGCCGTGTAATCCCGACCCTTTTCGATATCCCAATATTCAGGATTCTTGAGGAATCCTCTTACTTTCCCTCGGAGATTTGCTGCTAGGATTATCCCACTTTCCACCATTCTACCGTTTCATTTCGCGAAAGCGTAGCGAGTCATTGAATGTTTCCCAAAAAAACAATATCCACAACTTTCTAAGATGTTTTTACGGAAATACCACTTTTGCATGTCATGGAAAAAAAAAATATATTGGACATTAAGCCTTAAATTTGTGCGCGTTACATTCTTTCGACTACACAAATATATCTCAGGAGTGAAGTGTATATAAAGTGTATACTAAAATTGATCGTCGCATTCCTTTCATTTGCGCTTATTTATATAATGTATTATAGTTGGTTATTATTTTCCAAAGTTTATTATAAATTATACAACATTGTTTCATTGTTGCCGTATCCGTCCAATCAGTAATTACGCAATGCTTGTTTATCAATGGCTGACCATTCTCTCGCCCACTGCCGATAATCGCATCCCGGTCTGAAAATGACGCCGACGCCAACAATAGCGAGTAACAACAGCGCGAAACAAAGTACACGATCACTGTTCAATTACGCGCGACGTTATGCATGCGCAACCGTGCAACGACAAGAGGACAAACTGCAGTCGCTAGGAAACGGTATGCGCATCGACTCTCGCGTGTAACGCGTCTGTGTACCTATCTACGTTTCGTACACACATACTTGCGCGCGCGCGCGCGCGCGCGAACTGCACGTATCGGATAAACACACCCTGCGTATGCACCGACGCTGGAGCGGTCCTCCCCCTCCGGGTAATAACAGTAAATCCCGAGTAATAAATCCCTCTCCCATGTCTTCCTTCCCCACCCCTTTATCCTTCTCTCTGCCCGTCTGCCCGACTCGTACGTGTATGTGTCTGCACTTATGCGTCCCCCCTTCTTCCTCCACCTGTCCATTTCTCTCTCCATTTCCAACCAGTTTCTCCCTCGCACACACGCGTACGCGTGTGCATTTCTATACGCCTGCCTCGCTTCCGAATAGATATACGTGTATGACGTGCATTGTTGTAAATTGCTCCCATGCTGCAGCATGTTCCTACTGGGTTAATCGAGGACCCCCTTGAACTCCCTTGAACTCCGTTCCCGGTCTGGCACGACGGGAACCGGAAACCCGTTTGAACGTGTGGCGAACTGCTGCACGATTCTTCCTCGACTGCAGTGATTTTCCTCGTCCTATTCGTGTACATAGCCGACCGCTTTCGATCGAGGTCGAATAGATTTACAAGTATGATTGATAATACACTGCGATTACCCAGCTTACTGACCTCCACACAAACATTTCGAATGATAATATATACGATTGCACGAACGGCGATTTTGCTCTAATAAGTTAGAAAGCAATTTAACGTTGGATCAATAACAATCCTTGAACTTACAGCCGGACTATTATAGTGACTGTTACCGATGCTATCGACTTTTGGATGGGTGCCAATTGAGCAGACGATAATGCTATTACATTGTTATCTGTGTGATTTACTTTAGCATCGGAACTTGAAGTAGTACTCAACTTCGGAAGCGGTACGTGAAGTATCGCCAATTATAAGATAAGAATGATTTCGTGATTATCGCACCTGTTTAATGAAAATAATACAAGTTCAACTTTTAATCTTTTTCATAATTTTCTCTTTTCGCCTCAATTTGCATTACGATCTGAATAAAATTCGTAACATACGTAAGTATGTAAATGTGACAATTAAAACCATTCTTTTATCTTATAATTAGCGTCACTTCGCAAATGCTAAAACAATCGCGTCATGATATTATTAAGTATTGCTGTATATATATATATATATATATATATATATATATAACGCGGAAAAATTTCGAGTGTGTACACACGCGAAATAAAAACACGAGAGAACAGATATATTAAGTTACATGACAAATGCCAAGTGCGGGTGGGGTGAGAGGTTGCAGAGGTTACCAGAGAGGCAGCTTTATATAGCGTCCTACGGTTACCGAGTTATGCGAATCACTGACTGCGCACATCAAAGGGATTACCTCGGTAAATCAGCTCCATAATCTCTCTGAACGGTGAACAGCCGATGTACCGGACAGCTGTAGGGATCGATCGGTCGCCCGCCACAATTATGCGGTCCGATCAAGGGTATCGAGATAACCTTCGAGCGCAGGAATATCGAGTGCACGATAATCTACCGTCATGCCGTCGATAATTTCAATAATTAGCGACCGTACAGCTCGTTCGTCGGATTGCGACGCTCTCTATGCGTAATCAACAGCCTCGGTCGCGTAATATCTAAAATTAAATATATACGCGAAATTTCTGATTACGGCTAAATGAGAAAGCTGTTATGAATGAAAGAGTTTCGAACCGAGGTTAGTTTTCATACGAGCTTCTTATAAAAGGCTGTGTAGAGAAAAGTTTCATATTATGGTCTCTTGAAAACTTCAAAATAGTGGCTGTAAAGTCGAAGTGGATAATTTACAATAATACACACAGTTGCTATGCGGCAGTTCCCGTAACATACACAGATACATAAATTAATATTCCGTTTGTCTCTTTTGTTTCAGAGAAGAACAACGCCCGTAATAATCGACGGCGACGCGTGAGCGAAGGTGCAAGCCGCGAGAGAAACGAAAAAGATTCACCAGAAGCGGCGCTATCCACGCGGCAGCAAGAGGATCGTGAAAACAAAGGTCCTCCGTCGAGTAGAGTCGGCAATCGTGTAGCGCGACCAGTATTAGAGGAAGCGAATAGCGCGTCGGGAAGCGCCTCCAAGTTACGGAGACGCGGCGCCGCGGTAAAAAGTCCGACCACCGACCAGCAAGGTTCAGCACAGCATCAAAGACCGGTGCGAAGAAGGCCGCCGAGGCCAGGAAACGACCAGGAAACCGCCAAGACAGACGCCGAAGAGGAGTCTGTCGAGCACCATCATCGCACCGGAAGCGGTGTAAGAATCAACAAGGACGAACGTCTCGGTAACAGATCGGAAGAAGAGGAGGAGGAAGAGGAAGAGCGTCTCGAGGGGGGAAAATGAAGAGAATCAGGAGCGCTGCGATCCACTGACTAAGCGATTGAGAACAAGCCCCGTCGGCAGAAAGCTCCGGTCCGAAAGTAATAAGAGCAAAAACACCGAAGAAGCTGCAGCGGATCGAATTGAGGAGGTGGTAGCGGAGGCAGAGGAGGAAGACGAAGAGGAGAACGACAATAACGACGACGCCGAGGAAGAAGCGGGGGTGGAAAAACACGGCAGAGCCGAACGGCGGGAAGTCGACAAGCTCGAAGAGGACGAGGAGAGTCAATCTAGAGAACGAGATAGAGAGCCTGAACCGCCACCTCCGGACAAAGTCGATCCGGGAGGCGATCCAGCTTCCGAAGAGCAGCAGCAGCAGCAGCAGCAGCAGCAACTAGGTGGCAAACCGGAATCAAGGAAGGACGCAACCGATCGGGACACAAATAAGACCGAAGAGCGAAAGGAACAACAACCACCGCAATTACTCGTGAATGGATTGCACGTCGACCCGTCGCTGGTCAGCGATAAGACGAATGCCATCCGTGAGGACAGTCCGTCGCTGCTAAAGTCGACGACTCGATCGAAATCAAAGGACCTCGCGCAGGAAAAGAACGGAGAAGACGCAGCAGCAGCAGCAACAGCAACAGCGGCGGCGGCGGCGGCGGCGGCGGAGGAGGAGGAGGAGGACGACGAGCGTGACGCGAACGCCAGCGAGGAGGAAGTCGGCTCGCAGCGGTCGCGCCGAATCGAGCTGACCACCACCGAGTTAGGCACGGAGGATAGCGTGGGCAGCGTCGCGAGGGCGGCCAGCGTCGAATCGGTCGTCGAGCTGCTGGAGTCGAGCAGTCAGGACTCAGGCTCCGTGCTGGAGAGGCTGAGTCCGCTTAGCAACGGCGGCGGCGGCCCCGGCAGGCAGAACAGCCTGCTCCTGGAGCAGCAGCGGGAGCAGGAACGCAACCGGCACAACGAGAGTCCGATCATCCTTGCCGAGAGACTGAACAAGCCGCCACCGCCGATCGCCGGTCATCATCATCATCACCATCTGCAGCCGTACCATCCGCCTCATCAGTTCCATCATCACCATCAGCAGCACCATCAGCAGCGTTATTCCGGCGATAGTCCGGTGATCCACCATCATCATCAACAGCAACAACCGCCGTCGCAGCATCACCGCCATCAGCTAGCGAGCAGCCCGCATCAGCACCATCACCATTCCGCCGCTCACCTGACCCCGTCGAGCCTCCTCGAGGTGCAACAACAGTCCCATACATCGAGGGGCGGCGATGAGGCCGGCCTTATGGAGGTGGAGGCCGGGGCCGGGATACCTGGAGCGAGCGTACTCGCGGGTGTGTCCACGGCAGTCGGCGGTATACGCGCGTCCGGAGGCAACAGCGGCACCACCGGTGTCGCCGGTACCTACGGCGACAGCGGCTCCGACAGCGGGGTGAGCTCGTTGAGAAGCGCCGGTTCCGGCGACGAGAGGAGCGGCAGCAGAAGCTCCGCGCTCAGCGTCGAGGAAACGACGTCGTCCTCGACACCGTCGGCGGTAGCCGCAGCCGCCGCCGCTACCCCGGCCAGGGTTTGGCACGTGCAAAGCGTACAGCACACGTCTTTACTGATGGCGCATCCGTCCCAGGGCGCGCCCAACGCCGGCGCGAGCACCGCGGCCACGGCGCCGCCGGTCGGCTATCAGAGCTCGGCGCCTCCTAGTCATCACGCCGCCGTCGCGTCCGAGATGCTTTGGAGATCAACCAGAGCCTATCCACCCATTTCCCACAATATGCTCACCACGCCGACGCACAGTCCGGAGGAATTGCTCGAGAGGGAACGCCACGAGAGGATGCTCCGGTGAGTCTTTCGAAACTTTTCAATTCTCACATTTTTCGTTTGAAAGAAACACGAGTTGAAAAGAGGGACGGAGCGCGGTCGTGTGTATTATGAAATCCTTAATCCTTTGAAGTTGAGGATTTTATTTTAACGAGAGATTACGAATTTTTTAATCTTTTACGATTAATTTGCGATATTCTATTTTATTACCGAAGGAGAAACTAGTACATCGAAAATGGAAGAGAATAGACAATTTTTATGTTAATCGATTCTCTTTTTAATTTTTCTATTTTTTTATTTCTGGCTTACAAATATTAATGTTTCAATTGATACAAAATGATATTAAGAACGCGTCCATTGATACGTATTTGCGATTTTGTGTAAATCGAAAGTAGATTTATGCCTCGATAAATGGCGCCGTGAAAGGTTTGCCGTAGTATTACGTCTGCTATAATCAGCTCTGTCGATTGATGGTTGCAACGTGATATTCAACGGCGATAAGAAGTTTATCTACCGCGGCTATTTTCCGCTCGACTACCCGCACCATTAATAGCGCTGGCGCATGCACGAGCAATTTCAAATACGCGCATAATAATGCATTAAACGACCGCGCGACGATATCATGACTACATTATGCCAACAATCTTGTCTAAGCTTTAATTACGTTTTTTTTAACACGAGTCGTTCGCCACAATTTAGTGACGTGTATCGCTATTTTTCCGCTCAATTAATTGCCTCGCCGATAACCTCGACACAGAAATAATCTAAAACGTGCCAATAACATTTCGATTTAATATTATAAATAATACGGTTCATTTTGCTGTGAGAGTTTCGCCATTGTTTTTTTAAATGCTCTAATTATCCTTGAAATAAGCAATTCGTTGGAGCGTAATTTACTCGTTCGCGTGTCCCCGCAATGAAACGTCCAGCCGGCCGGTAGATCCTCAAGGAAACGAGAGACTATTGGCTGGCAACGGGGATGTGAATGTCCGACCGTTGAGGCAGCTGCATTCGGCGCTTTCTCGCCGTCAGTTCTAGCCGTCGCAGTTTCTTTGTTTGACTGCTCTCGCGTGACTACGTCGAGTGTGCATTCGCCATTCTCGTTTCTCGATGTGCGGGTAAGGGAAGGAAACAGCAGCCAAAGAAAGAGATGGACAAGACAGGCTCGGGCGTGCGTATCCACGGCCACATTACGCGCGCGCGCGCGCGCGTGTGTATCTGCCTGCGTTTCCGGGCGCCAGCTGCGAGTCGCTCCTCCGACTTCCGGCGGATTATCACGATAGAGACGAGACTCGCCTGAGTAATCGAGTCATCACTCGCGCGGTACGCTGACAACGAGGCGGTGACCCGAAACCGTCGCTCTTCAGCTCGTATAAATATATCGGTGCAACACTTACCAACACTGACACCGCTGATCGGCACGTGTCGATGACCCTGCCAGCCGCGCACGCTGCGCCTCGTTTTTGACCTCACCGAAGGTTGTCCGCCAAAACGACATCGCTCGATTATTCCTTTTACGTTCATCCAATTTTTCATATAATTATATTCTTTATATTGATTATTTATTCCCAAATTGGAGCCCAAAAGCGATTATTTTTATTACCCAAGTCGGATTTGCACAATACTTTTTCCAATCATTGGCAATGAGACTTGATTTAATTAGGTTTACATGACGTCTTGAATGATTTTTAAAATATTTACTGTAATCGATAAATTGTTATCGCAAGTACTTCCACTTTTAAATTACATACTATCAAAGTTTGACGAACGCACGAGAGAAGTTACTTCTGACAGTATAAAACTAATGTACTTTGCCTTACATTAATAACGATGGAAACATAGTCGGCCATGACTCCACTCTGTAGTTACCGCATGTTACCGTTACTGTTTTATTTCATCGATGTATCGATTGGAAGAAGTGATACATATTATACATTCTACACTAACTGAAAGTTTGAAAGCAACTGGAACTAGCCACAAACTTTAAATTGCATATAATTTAAATATGGAAGCTTGTCGCAGTTAGATTATTTCCATAAATCGGAAACTATTAATATCTTGACATTTAAGAGAAGAAGTTAACTCCGTTGTTACAACAGGTTGAGGGTTTCGATACAATATGACGCTCAGCAGCAGCATCGCTTTCATTTTTATTAAAGGAAAAACGATATTCTTTCCAATTAATTTCTTTTTCGAGTAATTTGTAGAACAGTCGCCCGTTATATGTAGGACACTTTCCTGTCCTTCGGATTTTTCATGATTGGCTAACGTATATATAACGGGAAAGCCGCATCTCTTCTTTCTCACTCGCGTTTAACGCGTCACTGAAGCTAATCCTCGCGATAAATCCAGCGACCTGACCCACGCGACGAGTTCAGCGAGCATCTAGGTAGGGATAATTAATAGTCCGTGAACCGGGAGCATGACTGAGATATTAAAGCTCTTCTCGAAAGAGCCCAGGCGGAAAAGGGCGAGGGTTTGGGTTGGCAAGCTACTAGACGACGATGATGACCTCCTACATCGTCCGCTGCTGTTGCTGCTGCTGCTGCTGCTGCTGCTGCTGCTGTTCGTGTTCGGAAAGGGGGCAGATGCGAAGGAAGAGACGTGCGACGACTTGACAATATATTACATCAAGTTGGTGCCAAGTCTCTCTAAATATCATTCTCATGTATTTTTGTGATGTCGGACGTCGGCTACATCACGACGCGCTTTTACAGATCACGATGTTTTATTTTGAACGAAAAAGAAAGAAAAACGTACAATTTACATCTCGATGTTGCACGTCTCTTCTTAATAACTGTCATATTCATCATTTACTCGCGTACGGATTCGTGCCCAGACTCCGATTTATTTCTCGTCGTTTCATACATTCATACGTGTTTCCCATAACGTAAAAAATAGATTTTTGCCGAAAAAAATATATGGATTATGTGTTTAAATTAAAACAAAAAGAAATCCGGAATACAAATTTAATAATCCTTAAAAACGGATTTAGTGAAATTGATAATATAAATGAGCAGAGTTTTAAACTTTTGTACTTGAGAAATCAACTTTTTCCTACTGTAACTGCTAATTTTTTGCGGTGATGAGATTTTACGCAATGATGATATGTGAAATCGAGAGTACGACTGAACGGTATCCCGCGAAAATTAAACTGGCTAAATTGGAAGCAACAGTTTGTCGGCGGACGAGTTAATCGTCTTTGCATCTTGGAGATATCTTCAAGGCCAAAGCTGCGCGATAGCATCCGCAGCCACGGTCAGTTTTCCCTTTCTTTCTCAGCAAGAAACAAGCAAACTTACGAGGGGAGGCTCGCCGCAAAAAGAAGGAAGATGCGCGGTAAGAGCTACCCTAATGACCATCGTGTAGCGACGAAGGTTAACTACGCGGCCCATCCTTCTCCAATCGATATCCCACGTTCCTTGTGCGCCTTCCCTCTTCTGGGATCCCATCGGATCCGGTAGCACTCGATCACAAGGTATTAAAGCTTGATTGATCGATGCACCTTTTTTCTGCTCAATCTTGGCCTCGACGATGAGTCACGCGAGACCTGAATTGCATTTTCGAATACAAAGGAATGATCGAGATCAATCCTGCACGGGCGAAAATATTTTTGTTCCTAAATGAGTGTTGACACGATTCACTAAAAATTAGTTGGCAAAAAGTAATACAAAAATGTTAACATTGTTCAGAATAATCGGTACCATTCGCTAGAAATTAATTAACAAAAAATACGAGGTTTTTTTAACAAAAAGTTCACATTGTGCAGAATAAATTACAGATCTGCATAGCGATATAATCGAATTATATTGTGAAACTTGTTTCAACTTTTTGAAATTACATTACTCCGAAGGTGCGAAAGAATACGAAAGTGAAGAATAAATTTTTCCAGTTTTCTTAATATTGTAAAATATCTCACTAATTGAAATAGGTAACTGAACTTTGCACATTGTGTTACACGGTAATATTGCAAGCTAACGGTTCATTAACGAAACAGGTATTAACGAGTTAACAGACTTCGCTTTGTGAAAGCTATCGGCCAATTAAAGATCGAATTTGCTCGGGATATCGATGAGGGATGCTGTTACGGAGTTAGCCGTAGGGAGAAGTAATCGTTCATTACGTATAACGAACAGGTGAAATTGGAAACCCGACAAAGCGGAAATACGGATCGGCGGCGATCGGTTATCCGCACGAGACGACGTTGCGGAACGCAGCGCTGTATTTTGCAGATATCACGCGAGCCCGTATCGGCTCGAAGCTTCCCGGAATTCCCTGCTATGGAAAACGCCGCGAGACAATTACTTCCTCAAGTCACACGCGTCTCGATGTTTCTCGCGCACGTGACGTGATCACGGAACAATGATTCCAGCGATTAGGCTTGCTCAGGTGCAAGTAGATCAGTTTATCCATCTTACAAAATCGAAATCGACGTATCAGCGACTATTATTTAAATAAACTATTAGATATCTAGCAAACTAATTTAAATAATTAAAAATCTTTTAACTAGTACAGCAACTTCGAGTAATTTAGCTAATGGAAAAAGCGGATATATCATTCAATGAAATAATGCATCTTTTTGACAACTTTTTAACATCTACATCTCGACGGTTTCCGAGGCACAATTATTATGTCTTTCGCTATCTTTCTTTGTCATTAGCCGTGCGAGCATAATCAGTGCGCTTTGGGGACAACGTCGTAGATCATCGCTCGCAATTTCGTCCCTTTTCGTTCGAGAAAGCGATTCTAGCAAACAGCCGCGCTGTTATTCTGCTCCAAATACACGTTCACTCCTCTCACGTTCAGTCCAATTACGCGTTCACTTCTCTCTTTCCTCTCGGGAGCACCTCGCTCTCCGTGTAACGACCGCGATTTAACGCTTATGCAAGCCCGACCTCTCCGAGAGAAGTAATCGGCTGGCCGCCGACTGCGGCAACAGAAACTGGCATTTGGGCACAAGGTCACGCGCAGCTTCTTTTTTATCTAACCCCCCCCCCCTCCTCCCTCCCCCTTCTGCACTC